GGGGCACTTGAAATGGAAATAACACAATTGACACCGGAGGGGGGACACTTATTTTCAGTTGCGCCGTTTTCCCCTGACTCGGGTAAAGGCTTCGAGATGGCTACACAGCAGCCCAACGCGGCCTCCGAGGCTCCACAATGGCTCGCCCCATCGCCGAAGTCCTTGCGAAGCCGGTCCAAAATGGTCCCCAGACAACCCTAAGACCCCGCGGGTGCTCCGAGAACTGCCGAAGATGGCCCATGGTTCCTTGTAAAATGGCCCAAGACGGATCAAGATGGCCTCAGACACTGTCAAAGACCCTCAAGACGTCCCCACCATCACCCCCAGAGCATGCTTGGGAGCCCACGCAAAAGCCAAATCTATGTCGCAGAGCAGAGTCAGCTTTGAAAAGTCATAGTTTGCGCCTTCGCCCTTGAGGCGACAATCGCCTCCACAACAGCCCACGCCTCCCCCCAGGCCTCGGGCCTCCGAAGCTCCTCTCCCCCCGTTCTTCTCGTCGGAAGTGGGGCACGGTACTGTTGAAGACGTGCGCCTGGGGAAGTTGGACCTGGTACCTGCGCGTTTGAAGAATCCAAAAAGTGAAACATGAATTCCCCTCTGTTGAAAGTTTACACACTCGAAGATTGCTCGAGACACTGCAATGCAGCTTCAGAAACCCGAAGCATCCGAGAAACTGTTCAACGCTGTAAACGTCCAACCCGACAACACTTTGAGCACGTGAAAGGACCGCCCACTACACAGTCAGAATCACCGCGAGCACGCTACATGCTCAAATGTTGGTCCGAATCGCGGGAAAGACACAAAAGAAACGTCTTTCCCGCAACGAATCGTAGGTAGTCTTACGCTTCTCCCCATGACCGACAGCGGCCCAGCAGTTACCTAGCAGGTCCTTCAGAGACGCCAAGAAGAGTCCAAATGGGGCCCCGGGTCGAAGTTTAAGCACCCTCGTTCTTTGTGGTGCTCCCATGTCCGATCAATGCGCAATCGCCTTGGAGCCGACTTTTGACCGACGGGTGATGAAGTGTTGGCTGGCGGGTCGGCCTGCTCCTCATCTTTGAGCTTCGCTCACGTTCCTCCGCTTGATTTCGAACGAAGGCTCGCATGGAAACTCGCCCAAAGGACACCCAAAATGGCCCTCAGACGGCCCAAGACGCTCCCGAGACGGCCCAAGGCCGCACCGAGACTGCTCCGAGGAGGATCCTGGTCGGCCCCGGGCGGCTCCAAAAAACCCCAAGGCGGCTCCAAGACAGCCCCGAGACGGACAAGACGGGCTCAAACCCGCAAGAGGTGCCCACAGCCGGCGAGGCGACGGTCAAGCTTCCGGGAGACTCCCGAAGAGGCCCCCCGAAGAGGCCCTGGAGAGGCATTAACCTCCTGGCAGAGGGAGCCCGCGCGTGTGGGGCCGTGCCGCCGCGGGGCCACACGGTGGGAGGGGGCAATCGCAGCGCACAGAGGGGGTGACGCGGGGCGTCGCCGTCACCGTCGACGTCGCCGTCGCCGTCGTCGTCGCAGACATCGTCGTCGCCGCCGTCATCGTCGACGCCGTCGCCGTCGCCGTCGCCGTCGTCGACGTCGCCGTCGCCATCGCCGTCGCCATCGCCGCCGCCGCCGCCGTCGTCGTCGCCGTCGTCGCCATCGCCGTCGACTGCGCGATCGGCGACTCATTGCACGAGGGCAGCGGGGAGGAGGGAGTGGCGCAGCGAAGCCTCGCGCACGGGAGAGGCACGGACGGGGGGGGGCCTCGGGGAAGCCACGGCAGGGCTGGGAAGGCGCACGGGCGCGCCCGCACTCATCCTTTCGAGGCAGGTCTCGCTCGTCAGAGGGTGTGGGGCGTAGGCCTGGCACCGGCGCCTCGGGCAGTGGTAGGGAGCCCCCTCTCAGGGCCGAAGGCGGTGGTGGCTCATTGCGGGCGCAGTCGATCCTCAAGTAAGCATCGCAAAGCAAATATCTGCAGCACCAAGCGCGAGGGCGCCATGCGGGATCCTTGCTAACAGCTCGCACTCGCTCGACCTTGAGGGGGGGCATGCGTGGCATGCAGCCTTGAGGGGGTGTGATTTGTTTGGCGCGGTCCCCCGCGAGGACACGCTGATACACCCCCTCACTCCCACTCCCTCCATTACACTTCCTCCCCCTCGCTCTCCCTCCTCCCTCCCTTCCTCCACCTTCTTCCTTCTCTGCACCATTCCCTCAATCATTCCTTCCCCCTTCCCTCCCTCCATCCCCCCGTTCCCTGTCCCTCTCAACCGCACACACCCACCTTCCTGCACAATTACACATATGATCGAATATTACTCTCCTCTCTCTCCGCCTAGGACGCTGGTGAGGTGTCCTGTCCTCGTATGTACTTTTCCAATCCGAGCGTGTTCAATCCCTTTCATAATGGCGATCCCGCTACAGTGCTGGCTTCATGTTCCCATTCTCAGTCCTTCCAGATCATCTTCCCACTGTAGCGCTGACCTCGTTTCATGGTTTCGGTTATTCCAAATCGTGTTCCTGCTGCATCGTTGGCTTCGTTTCCGCCCTTCCCGTCCTTCCAAATCGTGCTCCCACTGCAGCGCTGGTCTCATTTCCGCGGTTTCGGTCCTTCGAAATCGTGCTCCCGCTGCAACGCTGATCTCATGTTGCGCTTCCCGCTTTACACACCGTCCATTTAAATGCCCCGTCCTGTGTCATTTCTAGTTTCCCTCTGACCTTGTTGTCGAAGTGGTCGCATTCTCGAAGCGGTGCCATGCTATGCCGTGCTATCCCATGCATCGTATACTCTCTCAGGGTCATTGACCTGTTCAACCTCCGACTGTGCGAACAGAGAGCAGATCTGCGCAACGGTAAGGGAGAGGAGGGAAGGGGCAGGACGTCAGATGTGACGCTTGCACACCCAGCTTGGCCCTACACCCCTCTCCCCATCTCTTTCGCTAGGCCTAAGTCACGGTGATGACGGCCAGTTGGCACTGGCAGCAGTGATGGCCATCACAGCCTGGACAGCCTCGTCCAGAGCGACAGCCCCAGCTGTGAAGGAAGGACTAGGATCGCGAAGAGAAGTGCCTCCAGTGATGATCGGGGTGGTCACGGCCCTCCCTCCCCCATCCCTCCCCAGTCGTGGCAGATCACGGCGTGAACTCCCAGAGGCCCAGAAGGGGTCAGGACCTTTCCCCACGGGGCGGGCCTCATCCGCCGCCCGCCGCCCGGAGCGGAAGAGTCTCCTCCTCGTCCTCCTCTCCTCTCCCTCCCTCCTCCTCCTCCTCCTCCTCCTCCTCCCTCCCTTCCTCCCTCCCTCCCTCCCTCCCTCCCTCCCTCCACTCTCTCCCTCCTTCCCTCCCTCCCCCTCCCTCCCTCCCTCCCTCCCTCCATCCCTCCCTACTTCCTCCCCTCCCTCCCCTCATCCTGCTCTCCCTCCTCCTCCTCCCCTCCTCTCCTCCTCCTCCTCCCTCCTCCTCCCTCCTCCATCCCTCCCTCCCGCACCTCCCTCACCTCCCTTCCCGCCCTCCCTCGCCTCCATTCCTCCCTCCCTCCTCCCTCCCTCCCTCCCTCCCTCCTCCCTCCCTCCCTCCCTCCCTCCCCCTCCTCCTCCTCATCCTCCTCATCCTCCTCATCCTCCTCCCGTCGTGATCTCCTCTGCTGCTCGAGAGGGCCGGAGCGGCCACTCCCTGCCTGCAGGTTGGTGAAGGACGAGATGAGCACGATGAAGGGCAGGTAGCTCCAGAAGACCCCGAAGATGAGCCCGTACCCTACGAGGCCCCAGAGCTTCTGCCTCCGCGGGGGCCGGCCGTCGTCCTCGTCGTGGTCCTCGTGGTCGTCACTGGCCCCTCCGCCAGGGAGGGGCGGAGGCGAGCACGAGGAGAGGGAGGGGGGGAGGTAGGGAGGGAGGGAGGGAGGGAGAAGGGTGGGACGGAGGGAGGGACGGAAGAGGGAGGGAGGGACGGAGGGAACGGAGGGGGAAGGGAGGGAAGGGGAGGCAAAAGGAAGGGAAGGGGAGGGAAAGGGAGGGAGAGTATTGGAGGGAGAGAGCGAGGGAGGGGAGGGGGAGGGGAGGGAGGGAGGGAGGCAGGGAGGGACGGAGGGAGAAAGGGAGCAGGAGAGAGAGAGAGAGAGAGACAGAGAGAGAGAGAGAGAGCGAGTGTGAGAGTGCGAGACAGAGAGAGGGAGAGAGAAAGATGGAATAGGAGGGAGAGAGGGGAGAGGGGACAGGGATGATATCTCACCCGAGGAGGAGAAGGAAGGACGAAGGAGATGCGGAGGAAGAGGAGAAAAACGAGAAATGAAGAGGGAGGAGGACAATACGACAAGGGTTTCACCCTCCTCTCCTTTTCATCCTCCACACTCGAACCACACGCGCGCACTTCGCGCACGTTCGGGTTCCAGCCCCTACGGTGCCGACTACGTGGACAGCGAACGAAAGGTCATGAGTCCCACAGCCTTCTGGGCGTAAGGGGTTTAGGGAATGTCCCCTCCCAATACCCCTTCTTCCCCTTCGGGAATGGGTTCATCACTGCTCCCAATTGATGATACCGGAGAAAAACCCGATCATAACCTTTTTAGGGCTTTAGGGCTATGGGGCTATAAGGCCATAGGGCTAGAAGGTTATGGGGCTATAGGGCTACAGGGCTACAGGGCCAGAGGGCTATAGGGCTACAGAGCTATAGGGTTATGGGGTTGTAGGGCTGTAGGGCTATAGGGCTATAGGGCTACAGGGCTATAATGCTATAAGGCTATAGGGCTATTAAGGCTATTAGGGCTATAGGGCTACAGGGCTATAGGGCTATATAGAGCTACCAGGCACCTGGGCACCCGGGCACCTGGGCACCCAGGCACCCGGGCACCCGGGCACCCGGGCACCCGTGCACCCGGGCACCCGGGCACCCGGGCACCCTGGCACCCGGGCACCCGGGCACCCCCCGGCACCGCTGGGCACCCGGCCGCCGGCCACCAAATCGGCGCTGCACCTCACCTAACCATATGCATCCGCTAGGACCCCTACTTGGAGGGGTTGGTGGTTTAGTACGGTTTGCAAGTCGGTAGAGGTTTTATAAAGTTTGCACAGGACTTGCTTTCAAGTTATCAATGGGTTGGGTAACCCATTGCTAAGTGGTTAGGCCCATGAGTTGGTAAGGCCTTACCTAAACGGTTAGCTTTGGGGTTAGCCAACCGCTAAACGGTTAGCCTAAACGCTTAGCTAAACGGTTACCGCCCCCCGTAAACCTTTAGCTAAGTCCTTGCGGATCGCTTGACGCCCCCTGCAGAATTCAGAAATCAGCATCCCCAAAGCTCAAAATTCTGAAGCCTTCGAGTGCAAACAACGGCTGGGAGACATTCCCCATGGCAGAATCACACAAGCAACGCGTGAAGAAACGGCAGAGTTCCTTACCAAATCCCGCCCTCGCCCCCTCAATCCCCATTCCTCCGCCCACTCGCAGGATCCGAAATCGAGGGGGAGGGGTCGAGTCGAGGAGGGGGATAGTAAGGGCAAAGGGGAGTAGGATGGGGTAGGGAACTCCTTGCGACCGTCTGCAAACATTGCTCTCCTTGAGGCCCCGAGGCAATTCTTTGAGTCTTCTGTTTTTTTTTTTTGACAGGCGCAGGTAAGCTTCGATGCAATCGGCCCCGTCCGAAAGCAAAAAGGATGAGAACATGCTCATGCGATGGATGGTGTATGTAGCACAGTCACAGTGCTAGGCCCCCTAGAATGGATGAGGACATCCACGAAATCACACATTAAAGAAAAGCACGGGCGCGAACATTTCTTCCAGATGCTATGCTTCTGGAATTGTTCCACTAGGCTGTAGGGCTGGATGGCAGCATACAGTTGCCCATGGCATTCAGCAAAGAAAATTACCTGGGCAACAAAAAAACCTGCGGCTTTGCGAATGGCAACAAAATCCTTCGAAGCAGCAGAGTCCCACTTCGAAAAACGAGCCTTGGAAGACGTTACATACTCACCAGGACCGAAATGCTCAACTAGTGCTGCAATTCTTTTTTTGTTTGTGCGCTCAGGGCTTTTCAAACCGATCGAGAGGTCAAGCCATTTGGCTTCGTTCCAGTCGTGCAAGCTCTTGGCAACGATTTCACGAACGATCTTGCTAGTATCAGCTTGCTGGTCTTCACCGTATTTTAGCACGAACTTGTGTTTTCTTTCGAGTGTGATGGTGTGGGGGCTCCACCCCAGGGCTTGCACGGTCTGGGCGTGGTGCAATACCCCATGAAATTTCCATATCATGAGATGCTCCCCGAACGCTGCTTTGAAGTGCTTGATGAAAGCAACGGTGTTCGCATTTATTGTTGTGGCAGGCACCGACAGTTTCGGACAATACCAAAGCAGCCCAATCACATCGGACATCGATAGAATCACATCGCGAACCGCACAGTCAGGAACCTTTGTTCTGAAGTAGTGGGCGAGGACCGAATGCATGGATAGCGCTTCTGAACAAGAACATTTCCACGACTCCGCTGCCCAAGACGATTCCGAACGCTTCAAATTGAACATCTCGATGCCCGTCGCTGATCGAGAGGAAATTCGACACTGCCATGTATATTGTTTCACAAACTCGTAAATATTCTCGGTCACCTTTTTGTAAGAACTGCACATCTCCCTGAACGATTGATACACTGTCACCTGGGACACGCCTTGCAACCAATTGTGACCCCAGTCGAAACAATTGTGATCGAGTGGATGTATCACGTCTTTCATGTGAGGTAGGAGTAAGCTGTGAGGATTGTGTGTCCAACCAAACATCGTCTCTCTCTCAGCCTTCAAACCTTTGGATGTGGAACTTCCAATCTTCTCCATCATTTTTTCGAGGATCGGTTTTGTCAGCGGGATGCAATCTTTGAGGGAATCAACCTTAGGATATGGAATGCACGTGTTGTGTGCCTGCAATTCACCGCAAGCCATCCAGCCCTTGTTAACTACATTCAGACACTGGGAACACGATTTGACTCCTGCTGAACCTTTGCATTGCCAAATTTGATGCAGAGCCGATTCGTCTCCGAGCACGCAACCAATTTTTGCAATCAACTTAAATGATTTACCTCCTGGCAGATGCAACGTGATCCCCGAAAGGCTGATATCGTGAGCTGAAGGATCAAACATGAGCTTGAGTATTCCACCAATCAGTTGTGAAGTCCCACTTGGATTACACGCCTCAACATCTAAACTCCTGACGCATCCCACAGCAAACCAGAAGTCTTCCTTGGCAAGTGCATGGGCCCCAAATTCTAGGATCGATATGTAAACATTCTGACATGCTCTTTTGTTTTGCTGCTTGGGGCGGTCCCCAGGCTTCGCCTCATCGTTGTACAACAATATCCTCCACGGGTTGCGATGGCTGCACGGGGTCCTTAGGCTTAGGGCTTGTCAAAATAAATCCACAGCAAAACAACCACGGTGAGGGCCCAAGAGGGCTTGCCGACATCTGAACAACAAAAAAAGGCCGACTGGTTTGGCCACGATCAGGCTCGGGATTCGGGACCTCCAAGGGGAAACATCGAATCAGTTTCGCAGGGCTGTCTTCGTCTTCGACAAAGTTCTACGAATGAGAACGAGGAAGAAGTAGGAGCTCGAAGGGGCTGAGGATGGAGACGCCGAAGAGAGCACAAAGAGGAAGGAGGGCAAGCGAACAAGTATGTTCGACCGACCCCCCCTTTGGTTTTGAGGTATAGAGGCAAGTCCTGGAATAGGTTTCCTCGAAGAGCTTTCCGAAGTGAATGCTGCGACTAGCAAGCGAGAGGTAGGCGAGGGGGTTCACGACTTCCACCTTCAGAGGCTCCCCCTTCGCAGTGATCAGGTCCAGAGGAACAATGAGTTTTCCATACTCTGTCGTCTGAACGGCCAACGAGTCCCTCGCTTCCCGCACACTCTTACTGGTTGATATGGCTGGAAGTTCCCCCTTCCTGGCCAAGGCGCACATCGAGGCAAATGCTGATTGACTGGCATGAGGGATCGAATACCGAGCGGCATTTACTCGTTGAAGTTTTCTCGCCCTCTCTTCCATTACGGTCGCAGAGACATGAACATGATGCCACGCGCCTCGTGCCCAGGCGGCTGCGGATGTGAGAAGGGGGTGGAGAGAGGCCGTTTCTCGTTTGTTGTTTTCTTTTGGGAAGGGGGGGCCTCGTCACGTGTATATTCTTCCTTCGTTTCACGCGTTTCACCACCATATGGAAATCCGAACGGGGTGTCTTACACTTCTTCTTCTGTCTCTTCTTCCTCCTCTTTCTCATCCATCTGATTTGTTTCAAGCTGACTTGAAAGGAACGCGCGTGTTATTCCCCGTCACCACCTTCCTCCTCCTCTTCCTTCTTACCCTCTCCCTCATCACATTCCTCGTCAGTCCACTCCATTTGGTGGTTGTTCAACCTCACTTGAAAAACGTGCGTGCTTCTCATCATCATATTTCTCATTCTAATCCTCATCCCTATCTCCCCCGTCCTCCTCATCCTACTCCTCCTCATCACCATCCGTTGCCAATTTGGTTCAAGCCACGCGTGCTCAATCATGCGTCGGACCTTACGCGACGGGCGTCCTTGCGACCCCAACCCAGGAACATTTTTACATCACAGGTGGTCCTGAGGAGTATTCCGCACTGATGTGTTCTGAGCGTGCCTACGACATGTGACAGGGCACGCATGCGCACTAGCGACTGCCAGCTGCCTGAGCTGACTTTGCATGCAGCCGACCCCATGGCTGCTCAAGCAAGTAAGCTGAGCTGGCTACTCGAGGACAAGCCTGAAACTAAAAAGACCTGATGTAGTCAACGGCAGCCTGAAAAGAGACACGTTTGTTGCTGCCGAACTTAAAACATTTCCCCTGGCCCACGGCAGCACGATCAGGCCACGCGCGCCAGCCCCCCTTTGAGGCGCTGGGGCTGACCTTCCCCTTGCCGACGTGCACTGACCCATGCTTTGGCATTTCGGGGAAGTCTGAATTCTTCGGAGCTTTCTTCGCAACTTGTTTAGCAGACGCGTGTGCTGGACTGGCAGCAGCGGGACGCTTCTTGGCGCTGGGAGTGTCGGCTGCTTCCATGGCAGCTTTCTTCTCGTTCCTCTCAGCCTTAGCTTTGGCCTTGGCCCTCTGGACCAACTGCTCGTGCTCAGCCTCGAGCTTGCTGACTACGGCAGTCGCAGCGACTTCATCGCTGCAAGCCGCGTCCGCTAGCATCGGGGCCGCTGCGACCTTCGCGTGCTTGTCTAGGTCGCCTGAAAGAACGGCAAGCGCTGACGGCGGCTCTTGGCTGTCAGGTGGGCCGCCCATGGCGGCCTCCTCTTGGGCCTTGCTCGGGGCTGGGAGGGACCTCATTGGAGTCACCCAGGCAGGCTCCATGCACGGAGGGCGATCAGCGTCCTGCACGGGCAAAGCAGCGGGAACTTCTACTGTGCTCGGCATCATAGGAGGCAGCCCAGGCTGTTGAAGTGGTGTGACGCCTCCAGGAGAAGAGCCAGCGGCATAAGCGCCAGCGCCAGTGTACTTGATGTTCACCTGCCCCATTCCCGATCCATTGGCGAAGCCAGCCATGCCCAGCTGAAAAGCTTGCTGTTGGTTCAAGCCCATAGCAGACGCAGCAGCCATGAAGTTCATCACGTTGACCTGCCGCTGCTGCGGCGTGCCGAAGCTCAGCGCGTTCGGTAAAGCCGCAGGAGCAGATTTGGGAACAGATCTGGGAACGGAGTCCCTGACGGTCACGTTCGTCGACCGACATGATACTTTCTTGCGAACGATGAGAAACATCGGACTGTCGAACGTCACTGGAGGGCCCTCGTCTGTGTACATGGACTTCTGGATCTGCACTGGGAGCCCCGAGGGCTTGTCACTCAACGAACGAAGAACTGGCAAGCTATCCACTCCAGGTGGTGGACTGCTGAAGTAGCTCGGGAAGCGATGGACCATGTTGTACAGCTTGACGGGGTCTTGCTCGCTCCCCATTGCAACGGCACACGCAGCCACCATGTCCGCACATGCTGGGGGGCTCGGCTGCACCATGCCTCCTTTCATCAGCCTGGTGGCAATCCGCATTGCTTTGGAGGCGTCGTCGAATGGCTTACTCTGGTCATTGATGACTGCCCAGTCGGACGCGGTGAGGTAGTTGAGAATAGAGTCACGCTTGGCGAAGGACTGCTTCTCCGTGGGGAGGAGACGGCTGGCCGTCGAGTTTCTCAGTAGCTTCTCGTTGATGCAAGTGCTGATCGTTTTCTTTTGATCGGTGCTGAAGGACGACTGACCAAGGGCCTTGAGAAGAGCCCCAGCGCTATCGCTGAACACTGGCTGCGAAATCGACGTAACCATTGCACAGATGCTGGAAGCCAGTGAGGCTCGAATCTGTTCCAAGGCGGCACCATCAACACCAACGGCCTCGTTGTCAGCCAGGACGCTGACGCTTCCCTGTATCTCTGTCAGGCAACTTGAAATGGTAGCCATCTCTTGCAGGTGGAAGCGTAAAGGACTGCAGCGCGCGAGGAGATCTCCTTTGACAACGTCGCAAAACAATGGCTTGAACCAAAGCTGGCTACGGAGAGAAGTGGCTGACAAGAGTAGAAATCTCTCCAACTCGGCCCTTGCCAGCATAGAGTAGCACATCAACTTGGACGGCACGCGCTGCACAGGGCAGCCGAAACTGAACTGAGACTGAAAATCACCATTCGAAGAGAATTTTCAATTTTGAAAAATTCCTTCGAGGACCTCCGGAGAGAATTTTCAATTCTGAACATTCTCTTCGATCCGAATCAAACGGAATTTTCAGAATTGAAAATTCTCTCCGGAGGTCTTCGAAGGAAATTTTCAAAATTGAAAATTCTCTTCGAAACGTCTCCGACGCTTCCCGCTGCGGTTCCAAGCCGAAATGAGGTCAAGGAGGCCAGATGGAGAGCTCGTGAGATACTGATGGAGGCACACATGCAGCGCCGACAGACCAAAGATCTCAGACCTGGGGGCTCAGGATTCAGGGCTACGCCTGTGCTCTCGAGTACGCACTGCTTTGCCGATTGTCTACGATCTCAAAAAAAACTCAGCTCCACTACTCTCCTGACCTCCCACTGTCCATACTTTCTCACCGATTTCCTGCAACCTCGCTGACGCTAGCAAGGACCCTTATTCAAGCTATCCGCATCCTCTTCCCTATCCTTCCTCTTGTTCTCCATTTGTTTTTTTTCAACCTCACTTGAAAAACGCGCGTGCTGTTCCTCCTCATCTTCCTCCTCCTCCTTCTCCTCTTACCTTCTATCTTTCTCATCCTCCTCATCCTACTCCTCCTCCTTCTCCTCCACATGATCTATTCCTACTCATATTCATCTTCCTCCTTCTCTTCCCTATCTTCCTCATCCTCCTCCTCCTTCTCCTCCTGGTCTCCATGCCCGCTCTGCTATGGACTGTGACGCAGAAGTTGGTAGTCAGACGAAGGCTGCGATGCTGATGGATGTGGATGCGATGATCATGATTATGTTTTGTCTTTGCTGGCTAAGCGCAGGGCGCATATCTAGGTGCAATGGCTATGTGTCGCAGCGCACACTCCCCGTGCACTTGCAAGAGATCGCTGTGGTGGCCTACAGCGAAGAAGCCAATGCATAGCGTCGCGACCTAAACACAGGTCAGTTGCGATCTAAAGCTACTTGCGCCTGCGCTTTGCCAAATTCGCCGAGCCTGCGCTCGGGCCCGCACTCCCTGAGCTGCCACTAGAAGGACGGCTCCCTGAGCTGCCGCGAGATGGACCGTCTGCGAGGGACCTCAGTGCCTCCTCGGAGTCGCCATCGGTAACGACAGGGCGCAGGTATGCACGAGTGTCAGGTTTCTCGGTGGCGATGGCTTTCATGAACACCCACTCGAGCACTTCTGGCGTTGGCTGCACAAGTAGCCTCGAAGGAGTCACATTCAGGGGCATGCTCGTTTTGACGGCATCGACCTCGAAGTCATACACGCGGAACGCAGGCATCTCCACGTCCACCAACGGGTTGACCCCTTGCTGCCCTTCAGCAAGGGCCCTGAGGGCCTTCTTCTGAATGTTCTGGCGGTACGCCGTCAGCTCTGCGGCGGAAACGTGAGACTCATCATGACCAAGTGCGTCTTTCGACGCCGCCTTCTGGAGGTCCAGGAGTTCGCTGATCACCTTCGAGGCCACCACCGAATACGCCCTGGAACCATGAAGCCACTGAAAGAAGTCCTTGTCGCCTTTGCAGAGAGCGACGAACTCAACCCCTCCCACGTTGGCTACCTCTGCCCCGCGCCAGCTGGCGTTGCCAGGAATCGGGCTGGTGATCGTCAAGGTGCGAGTGCTCTCGATAGCCGTACGATTCTTGACCGCATTGATGACATCATCGATTGCCGCCGACTTGGCCTTGGCAGCAGTCATCTCAGCGAGAGTTGGCATACTGGAGGCGCGGGCACAAGGGGGCGGTATATGTCGAGGCAACTTGAGGTTGCACGAGCTAAAACGGCTGCGGCTGAAGATGGAGATGTGGCTTGCGATGGTGCAAGCGACTGCAATGATGATTGTGATTGGACACAAGCACAACTAGACTCGCAAACGAACGCATGCTAACGATGACGACGCTGACGACGCAGACGACGACCTGCGAGATGGCGACAGCAGCAGTGTTACCGATCAATGGCAGGGAGGGAATTCCCTCCCTGCCATTGATCGGTAACCTTCCTTAAAGGAAGGGCACGCGCGGGCGCAAGCACGGCGCGCCTTCGCTGTGTAGAAGCCCTCGACGTAAAGACGGGCGGCGGCAGAGGGCGGGGGGTCTGTCTCTTGTGGCTGTTGCTGCTGCTGCTGCTCCTCCTCCTCCGATTCCTCTTCGTGCTCCTCCTCCGCCTCTCCTCTCTTTCTCTTCCTCGTCCTCCTCCTCCTCCTCCTCATCCCATCCCATCCTCCTCATCCCATCCTCCTCCTACGTCTGATCCTGCTCCTGCTGCTCCCCCCTCTCATGCTCCTCAATCTCCTTCCTCCTCCTCGACGCTCCTTCCTCTTCCTCCTCCTGCTCCTCCTCCTCGCCGCTCCTTCTCTTCGACGTTTTTGTCGCGGTCCTGAGCCACTGTATTACCACATCGGCTGAAACAAATTCAAGGACGACGGTTGAGGCTGCTCGAACCCCCTCCCTCGACCACGGTTCCAGAGGGGCCTCCATGCAGGGGGGCCTCCAGAGGGCCTCCAGGGGGAAGGAGGGGGCGGATGAGAAGGAAGAGGCGGAGGACGAGGAAGAGGAGGAAGAGGAAGAGGAAGAGGAGAAGGAGGAGGAGAAGGAGGAGGAGGAGGAGGAAGAGGAGTGGCTTGGCGACTCTCGCATTGCATAAGATTTATCATCAATTGGCCAGCTCAGAGCACAGGCCGAGGTTCGATGAACATCGCAACGACATGCGGCACTGCATCGAGACATGCTGACGCGAGTGCGCTTCACCCCATCGCACATGGCAGCATTAGCTTGACCAAACACATCTAAGCTTCTCAAAGCTTGCTGGGACAAACCACGGGCGCCTGTTCGCAGGCGACGCTGGCGAGAAAAGAAGAAAAGCTGGCGAGATAAGCGACACGTGACCAACTGCCCTCCCCCTCCCTACTGGCATCTCCTCGACTCCATCCTGGTACTCATCCTCCGCCGTCCTAAGATCAATCATTGCCGTGGCCTCTTCTTAGGCTGCCACGGGCAACAAAGGAGCTCTGCATTGGCCTTTAGATCGACAGTGTTTGTCATGACAGGCAAGTAAAAATTGAAGCCGTGAGAATGCAGCAGGCCTTCTACTGATAGCTGAGTGGTCTCGCACACGCCTACATTCTCAATGATCATGTTTGCCTTCTGGCCCTCCACAGGCTCGGCGACGGCCCAGAAGGGCGGAACGACTGCCTTTGCAGTCGACTTGGGACCTGGGAGGACGATATGGGATAGCAGGCTGAACGCGATGGGGGGCCTCTCCACCATCTTGCCGAGATCGAGCCCCTTAGTGCAAGGCGTATCTCCATCACGATCCTCGATCTTCGTCGTCGTCGGCACGAAGACAAGGTCGCCCTTTTTCACTGCCTCTGTAGTCCTGACCGAGAAGGGGTTGGCATAGATCTTGATCTTATCGTATGACGAGTTCTGTATCGACAGGCGCGCCAGGCACACTACGATGGAGCCCTTGGTGTGGCTGGCAATCCACTCCCTGGATGCCTCAGGCGAGTGCAAGCTGGAATCGATCTCGTACTGGATCTTGGCAGTGGTGGCCGCCCAGTCGGCATTGAGTTTCTCAAGGTCCAGCTGCAAGGGTTGGCCATTCTCAAAGACGCCCGTCGGCATCAGCGTGGCGCCGTCTGCGGTGAGCTGCTCAAGCGTGTAGTAGGTACACTGGTCCTTGCTGTCCTTGCTGGCGCCGCTGCTCCTCCTCTTCACGATGCAGCCCCCGGTAAAGCCGAGCCTCTGCATCTGGAACGCAGCGTCCTTCAGCTGCGCCATGGACTGCGTCGTCAAGCTGGCGGCCGCGGACTGTGGCCCCTCCTCCTGCTGCTCTGCTAGGTCGTCGCTGCTCCTGGTAGCAACCACCTGACGAAAGAAAGAAGTGGGGGAAGAAAGAGATCGGATTCTGTTGATGATATCTGTTATCGTGGTTGTTTTTGTTGATTTGAATTGGTGTCTAAACTGGCTTTCGGGGGTGGTGACCCCCCACCTGACGCGGCCTCTTCCCGGGGATCCTCTTGTTGGGACGCCAAGGGTTGTCCAAGGGCGTGCCGACGTAGGCGGACAGTTGGTCAACAAATGGTTGGCCTGCGTGCTCCAGCGACTCGTGCTCCTTGGCTTGCCTGCTCTGCTTGCCCTTCCTCAGGATGTGGTTGACGACGGCAGTGTCGTGCAGCGCAAGCATCTCCATGCATTTGGCTCTTGGGACATTATGCTCAGCCAGCATATCCCTCGCCAAATCCATCATGCCTTCGGCTTGGAGCACAGCAGCTTGGGACCCCTTGGCAACGAGTTTGTTGAGGTCGGACTCCTTCACCAAGGAGCACTTGTTGTCGACCATCTGGATGGTCAAAAATGCGCAGCCCTGGACGCAGTCCACCACGCCCCCGTGCCTTGCGCTGGCGAGGACTTAGAGGGGGAGTGGTGGATGCATCCAAGTGCGTGCACATGTTAACCATCGCCGAACCTTCTCCAGAGGGCTGAGCGCATTCGAGAGGAACGCCGCACCGCGCACACGGTGAAGCTGCAGTACCCCAGGCCACTTGAGGCTCGCGAGCTTCTCGTAGAACGCGCCTCCGATGTAGCCGAAGTTCGCGGTGGCGGTCTTCGGGGCCTTCACCACCGCATTCTTCATGTCTCTCAGCTCGGTCAGCTGATCGGTGGTGGTCACCTTGGCAAACTTGGCCAGGCTTACGGCCCAGCCGCTCCAGAAAGGATGGTTGCTGACAGCCTCGCTCTCAGCGTAACTCCACGCATCCTGCTCGGATTTCTTCGCGCCGATGGCGAGGGCGTAGTTGCTGTGCATCGTCAGCAGACCCTCCAACTCAGACTGATCTTGCTCCCCTCGCCAATTCAGTGCCTTTTGCCCCAGCGGCACTAAGGAAGGCCATCGCTCCACGACTTCCTCGGCAACGATCGTCCAGGTCAGGCATTGCTCAACCGCCTTCCTGAGGCTGGGATGCTTGCCTCCAAGGTCGGAAGGGTCAAGCCGTCCAGTGGGGGCAAGCTTCTGGTTGGCGCACTCCATCCTTGCGCTTACCCCGCGGAGGAAGCAATTGTTGTGGCTGCTTCCGAACGATACTGCGAAGATACTCTCAAACTCAGGCATCCCCTGCGTCGAAGCAATGCGATTGTTGAAGGCCAGCAGCTCCTCAGTGCGCGCGGTGCCAGGCTTCGCCTGGACGGCGAACGCCCCTTGGTTGGCGCGAGCCAGGCTCCAGCCAGCGCCACAGTGCTTGGCGGCGCTGTTCAAGGCGTTCTGGAAGCATACTCCAATCCCACCACGGTTGTTGGGCTCGACGCCTACGAATCGAGGCAAGATTTGCTGAGGCCAGATCAAGGAACTGTGTTCCGACAGGGTTTCCACAATCTTGTCCCATGTCTTGACTACCTCCTTGTCCTTCTCGTACGCAGCGAACGCTGCATCCACAGTGGGCGCAACTGTGTCCAACGCCGTCTGCAGGGGGCTCGCCATCAAGGGCGTCGACTGGCGCCTGCAGGTGCTGCAGGACTCTGAAATGCAGTTCACACCTGCAGCCAAAATGGGCTACGCTGATTCGGAGAAGGGGGATGTGAGGAGGAGGAGGAGGGATACTTCTGGTAGGGCTTCTGCTGGGCTAAAACACTTAGCAGGCTTGCTAAATCCTTGGTAAACCCCTTTGCTAAAGGGTCACCCTGATTAGCTAAGCTGCTTAGCTAAGTACTTAAGCAGCTTAGCTAAGACTCTGCTAAACCGTTACAACGGGCCGCCCCTGGATAGCTAAACGCATAGCAAGGCCATAGCACAAGCCGTAAGGGTTTGTGATAACCCTTAGCGAACCTAGCATCAGTAATGCAACGGCCCGTAAGACCACAAGTGATTACATGGCATAGCAATCGGTTGCAGAAGATACACAATACATAGCACAGCATTACCAGGACTTGCCATGCAAATGCTGGTGGATTGGTAACACCTTACATCCCTCTCAAGCGTTAGCAAAGCGCTGACCGCTCCAAGTACAGAGGCAAGCTCTGATTGGGGAATAAGCACCCCCTCCCCCAGGCGACTAGCAGCCATCCCCGACCCATGAGCCCACCCCCCACCCATCCTTTGCAAAACAATACAACATGCACTTTGCCTCCATATCTGGCGCATGCGCGGGCGCCCCGCGACCACGTTGCATTGGTTTTTGACAGGGGCGGCGGGGGTGCCAGCATATTGCTCGCTGCGCGCAGGCCAGCCATCCCTGTCAAAAGCTGAACATGCGCAGGGCCCTCACTTCTGTGAGCTCTCGTGTGTTGCACGACTCCCCAAGATATGTCACGATTTGTCCATCGGTGCCGGTGCTCTGCGCTCCCTGGAGGAGCCGCCCTTCTCACAGAATGCTCGGCACTTCGCTTCGGGGGGATTCAAGATCCTGAGCTCCTGGGGGCCAGGGCCCCCGGCATCTGGGGTACCGGGTACCTAGTGGTTCCCCGTAGCTGGCGCACCTGGGGCGGCTGGAGCACGTGGCACAGTGGGCGCGAGTGGAGCATGTGCCGTACCTGGCACGCTCGGGCCTCCAGGGCGCCTCCCGGCGCACCCGGAGCCTGTGGCGCGCATGGCACGTGTGGCGTTCCCAAGCGATCTTGTCAAACCCAGGTGCTACTTATGTGTTGGGAGGTAGGGTTAGGTCGGGCATGTCCCCCTACAGGCGGATTGTGGGCGAAAAATAGACAGTAGTTTTAAAAATACTCCAAAATGGACAGAAGTACGCAAAACATCGTCCCCATATCATTTTTGACGATTTTCGAATATTCCTCCTGTAGAGGGACAGGCCCGACTTAAAGGTAGGGTGGGAGGGAGCCAGACGGCCTGCTATCTAGGAGGGTAGCTTGACCCCTCCCCCTA